TTTCCTTGCTTATGGTGCATGCCTTCCCTTCTCCGCATAGCTCGTTACAAAGCAATTTGGTGAGAAAGCCAAAGGGGGGCTGGCTACCTCCGTACAGGACATATCGGCAAGAAAAAAGAGCAAGAAGAGGCATCGGTTGGATATCCACTGGGCTATTAAAGTTGTGCACACACATATACGCATATATGTATATATATGTATGTTCGCGTGGGGCCTAATTTACAAAGGAGAAACAAGTGTAGAGCTGTTTATGCGCACTAGGGCGCTTTGTTGGGATACTAAAAAAAATATTTCGAATTATTGTACATATAAAAAAAGGTCAAGATGGGAAATTAGGGTAACTCTATTAATATACATATGTACGTTTTGAAATTTACAAAACATAGGAAGAATGAGAGGGGGCACATTCAAAGTGGGGGTACGAATGGGGAAGTGATTTATTAATAGGCATATATTTACACCACGCGAGTGAATGGTCGCCGCGGAAGTGGTACATATATTAACAACAAAAAAATGGAATAACAATGGAGCAACCGTGAAGTGGTGACGGCAAGATCGTGGAAATCAAAACGGACACGCACGCATGCAAAACTGGGATGAGAAGAAATGCGCACATGGGAAAGGCTCCGGGAGGATGTATCCCTTTTATGAGTTTTTAAAAAATAGGGCCCCCATAAAGCCACACAATACAGCCTTTTCCGTTAAACCTATAAATGCTTCAAGGGGCTTCTTTTCTCCCTTGGAGCAAAGGCGGATTAGTGCTGTTAATATACACGTTTGCATTTTTAAGCTTTACAGTGAAGTGCTGCACTTATCTCATTTCGTTGCCATGTTGGTTAGTTTTTCATTTTTTCCCTTCACTTTGTCCTTATTTACTCCGGCACTGCTGTTCCGTTTTTCCATGTTTCCACTTTCCCGCAGCGCTTAGCATATGAGCGCGCAGGACACGGTGATGTCATCCATTTTACCGCCCGTTTTGTGGCACTTAAACTCTTTGTTGTAATTGTTTATGTAGGGAGAGATCCACCTCTTCATTTTCGAGTAGTTAAAGGCCTCATTGGCAATTGTTTCCGATAGGGAGGAAAAGTTGTTCTGTTTGACCAAATTTAATATTTGGTTATCGTACAAATTATCCCACAGTCCATCGGACCCCGCAACGATGATGTCATTCTTTTTTACTTCTATGTGAGCAATGTCTGCATCATTTGGTTTGCTTACCTCATTACTTCCCAACTGGTAGGGGAAATTAAACTCGTACTGCTGCGCTTTTGAGCGATAAATGATGCTATCATCTCGAATGAGGATAAATTGCGAGTCTCCAATAACAGCCGTGGAGATCGTGCTATTGTTATTAAAGATGATTAGACAGACGGTGGTTGATCCCTCAATGTCATTATTTAGATAGGCATAGTTAAGTACATCTTCAATTTTTATATTTTCATTTTCATCCATTTTTTTTTGTAAAAGTTGTAAAAATTTTTCGGGATATTTTCTTGGATTTACTCCATGCCTTATCCAAGATCCTACCCCATCAGCAATGGCCATAAACCCCTTGCCATTCAAACAGCAATCTTCACTTTCTACTTTATCTGGATGTTTGATAATTTTATAATTTGTCAAAATGGAATGTTTTGCACTTGAGCAGAAGGCTTTCTTATTAAAGGAGAAAAGAATATTCTTTTTAATTTTATATTTCAAATATACACTGTTTGCCATGTTAAAAAAGTTAAAGGTGATTTTAGTTTTTAAAAAAGTGCAAGGCAACTTGGTTACAAAATTAAGTTCCTTCGACAAGTTATTGCTAATCTGTGTGTCACATTTTGTGTTCGTGAAATTGGAGCTTTTGTTGCCACCTTGAGTTGGCAAGAAAGATAACTTATCCATAATGCTATCCTTCATTCCCATTTCATTTTTAGTTTTCTTATTCTTTTTTAATTTTTTTTCCAAAGAATTTGAAAAAAAATTAAGGTTCTGTCGGTAAAAGTAGCAATCTTCTTTTTTTAGCAAATAGATCATTTTCCTCCTCAAATTTATAGGCGCTAGAGCATACACGTGAGGAACAGGTGCCTTTTGATAGCATGTGAGCATATTATATAGGAGAACAATCAGCAGGGGGAAAAATGTGGTAATCATTTAGGGTAAAAAACCTTGGATTTTTTCCGCTTCGGGTTTTGCATAGGGCGGCGGGTTTTCCCTGATGCTCTCATGCCAAGCCGTTTGGCAGTGGTTTCCTTATCTTGCTGTGGTTTGCCTTTTCTCTGTGGTTTTCTTTTTTGCTACGGTTATCTCTGTTTGCCATGCTTTATTCTTTTTTCCCCATCTCGCATTTAAAATTTACTTTTCTAAAAAAAAAAAAAATTTACGCTATGTGGACTCAAATGCAAGGCATGAAAAGAAGGTGCGAAGCGAGGGGGTACACGTGCTTACACAATTATGTTTTCATGGGGCTACTTCCTTTTTGCCACGTGGTAATAAGAGGAACAAAAAAAAATGACAAGTAAATCTTCTAAAATCGGAAGCGCCGGGATATATAGCGGGATAAAAAAACGACGCGCAACGGTGATGCGGTGCAGCAGTAGAACGGTAAGGCGGCAAAGAGAGCAAGCAAAGAGCAAAATAAGTACATCTCCTTTACCCCTGTAGGCGCGAAACATTAACACGAGCTCTCTCGCCGAAGTTTGCTAGGAGCTCGAAAAAATTGCAACAGTTCATTGTTGGCCTTCCCTTAGGGTGCAACATGCATACGCGAAAATAAAAAACGCAATGAGGAAAAAAAATCACAGAATGATGCACAAAAAATGGGGGTAGTGCCTTTTCGTTCACTTTGCAATTTTAATATAACTCTTTTTTATGTGCTTTTAGAAAATTTTGCCTCATTTGTGGAATGTATGCCACTTAAATTTTTGAAAGTCTTTTTTTTTCTTTTTTTTTTTTTTTTGAATATTAAGCCTATCCGCAGAACATAAATTTAACAAATAGGAATGTGTAACCCCACATCGTTGGGTCATTTTTTTACAATTTTAATCGCCTACCAGAATTGCGTGATAAGTTGCGGTAGCGATGTTACTGTGCTTTTACATTCTCTACATTTTATTTAAAAAAAAAAAACACATCCTTTTGGTGCAACATCGGCATATAGTATTGCATAGCCCCTTTTGGAGGTGCATCAACGGGAATTTTTATTTCGCAAAGCAAACCTTTTTGGATAACTGCGGATGGTGTTGCATTCATTGGGGGTTAATGTGGTCTTATATAAGTGCCACCTTTATTTGGTTGTGGAGGCGGTCGAACAAATGACATGTAACATGATGATACTGTGCTACTTCCGTCATTTTGGAGAAACTCTTTTCTTCGGCCCATTTTTTGGAGCCTGTTCAAACGAACAGAAAGTGCATGCAAAGAAAGACATCCATAATGTATTTTTATGCATATCATTCTTAATTACAAATAATGTGGTGCCACTTGTTTCGTCGTAGTGGCAGCAACATAGAGAGGTAACATTTAACGCGCATCTATTAATGTCTTTTTCTTCTCTTTGCTCCTTTGTCTTGGCAATGGACAGGAGACAAGGTCGCAATACTAATACCTTTTGACAAAAAAGGGTGTTTTATTTTCCCGCCCACAGTTTTGAGATCAACTGAACATTTTAATCATCAGGAGGACGGGTAGAAGGTTCTCCTCTCGTAAATTCATTAAATTTATTTATTCTATTACTCAGGAATGACCGTACTTTAAATCATCGATACCTTTTTTTTTTTTTTTTACAATCTCGAAATAGACACCCTGCTTAAAACTGTTGCCACATGAAAGTGAATTTTTTTTTTTTTCAACTTAAGAAGGGTGCAGATTATTTTGAAAAATAATTCCTCACATTTTGGGCATCCCCAAGTTTGCGCATTATGAAGTCTTTAATTAATGCAAGGGGTAAACCAAAACATTCCTCAGTGCTCATTTTTCGTGAGCCTCGCTTTCTTGGTGTTCCCTTTTCTGCGCATCGTCGAACGGGAAAAATGGAGTGAGGTGTAAGCGGCAAAACAATTTAACGTTAGCAGGAAGTGAAAATCTCTATGCGCCGAATTGTTTATTTATAATGAGATTTATACAATTTTCTCCGACGTAACGTGGTAATGCAAATATAAAGGGACATGCACATCCAAAAATTTTGAGAGCACTCAT